ATCTATCTATCTATCTATCTATCTATCTATCTATCTATCTATCTATCTATCTATCTATTAATCGAATCGAATCTTATCTTATTTTATAAGAATTCCAATGAAACACTGAAGAACCAACATGGTATATCCATATTCCCCATTTTAGGACTTCCCAATTGCATGGAATTATAATTATAAATATGTCATCATGGTAAGCCCAATATCAAGATGGTACTGAGCGCAGAAGAGTTGATTTAAGGTGTTATGAAACAGATAGATAAGGAGAGTAGCTGAAAATAATCTGTAATGCAAGATGTTTAACTGCTTTCCTCAATCCATTATTACATGTTGGACTACAACTTCCACTGTCCCAGGCAGCAAGACGGTTGGGGGGTTATCTGAATTATTGTCTGCGAATGGAAATCCCATAGTTTATCTTTCAGTTTAAACAACATCAGTAGAATACATCTTGAATGGCTCATACTTCATATTAAATCCCAAATTAATTATACATTTTTGTGTGCCTTTGAGTCAGTTTTTGATCCCTGTTAACTGCATGGGCTAGCTACCATATTATTAAAAAAAAAAGTTTGCATCAGGTTTTGGAATACTGTAATTTATAAACAAGCCTCCTTACTCAGGAGGAAGCCTTGCTGAACTTTAATGTGATTACTCAACTGCTCTTCAGTAGATTTATATAGATGGTGATACTTAATGTCTTACCCATTTTGTACATCCCACACTTCATTTATCCAAATTCCTTACTAAAGTGTATCTGAGCCCAATATCGCTTTAATTAAAACCTCAAATTAGACTAGACACGGATGAGATGCTGCAAGAGAAGAGAATAATCAATTTCAATTATCAGAGAATGTGAAATATATATATATATATATATTAAAAAGCATGTGGGAAGGAGGGAAGCAAACTGTTTCAGATGTCCTTGGTGTCAGATACGAACCATTGTATCAGGTAGCTTTTGTTAATCTGTGGCTGACCCATACTGTAGTAGTTTGAACAGGCTATTTGGACACAATGCAGGAACTGTTTCATCTTGGTTGCTATTTGTCAAAATCAGACCAAGGTCAAAGGAAAAGCTGAAAGAAAAAGAGAAGACAAAGAAGATTTCTCACAGTTCCATGTCTTACATCAGTCTCCACTATGCAGTGCAGGCATTTTTTTTAACAAAAGAAAGAATGAGCAGGAAATATGGATGAAGCAAGCCCAATTGCTCCCTACTTTAGATTAGATTAACAGAGTTGGTAGGGACCTTGTAGGTCATCTAGTCCAACCCTCCACCCAAGCAGGAGACCCTACATCATTTGTGACAGATGGCAGTCCAGTCTCTTCTTGAAAGACTCCAGTGATGAAACTCCCACAACTTCTGATGGCAACTTCTATTCCATTTGTTCAGGGGTCTCCAAACTTGGCAACTTTAAGATTTGTGGACTTCAACTCCCAGAATTCCTCAGCTAGTCATGCTGTCTGGGCAATTCTGGGAGTTGAAGTCCACAAATCTTAAAGTTGCCAAGTTTGGAGACTCCTGCATTAGTTGATTGTTCTCACTGTCAGAAAATTCCTCCTTATTTTTAGGTTGACTTGAATCTCTTCTTGATCAGCTTCCATCTGTTACTTTTTCCCATGCCTTACAGAGCAGATAACAGATAACAGATAATCAGAGTTGGAAGGGACCTTTTAGGTCATCTAGTCCAACCCCCCACCCAAGCAGGAGACCCTACAAGCAGTCAACTGGGGATGACCAATATACAGGAAGTCCTTGACATACGACCCTAATTGAGCCCAACATTTCTGTTGCTAAGTAAGACAGGTGTTAAATGAATTTTACCCCATTTTATGTGAAACACTGCAATCGTTAAATATGGTTGTAAAGTAAATCTGGCTTCCACTTTGATTCTGCATGTAAGAAGGTCACAAAAGATGATTGCAAGACCCTGGAAGGTTGGAGCATCATAAATATGAACCAGCTGCTAAGCTTCTGAATTTTGATCACATGACTATGAGGAATGATCAATACAATGATCGTACATGTGAAAATAAGCCATAAGTCACTTTTTTCAGTGATGTTGTAATTTTCAACAGGGACCTGTTGTGAGTTAGGGACTACCTGTAGGTAATGAAATAACATCTTCAGAACAGCAGGATAGTCTAGAGTGGAATATGCCAACTGTGGTATCTTTAGGGGCTGCCACAGAGAGGAGGGGGTCAAGCTATTTTTCAAAGCATCTGAAGGCCAGACAAGGAATAATGGATGGAAACTGAACAAGAAGAGATTCAACCTGGAAATAAGGAGAAACTTTCTGACAGTGAGAACAATCAACCGATGGAACAGAAGTTGCCTTCAGAAGTTGTGGGAGCTTCGACTTCCAGTTTGAGTTCCTTTGGCGATGGACCGAAATCTGCGATCGTGCATGGTTACGATCCATGCTCGCTGCCAGAGCGCCCCGAGCCGGCTGGTTTCAGGGCTAAGCCACCCCGTACAGGTGGTAAAGAGGGGGGAGACTGCCAGCAGGGTCGAGGAGAGCCGCATCTCTCCTCCCCAGCTGGTCATTACTCCCTTTCCCGAAGGCGGTTGCAGCAGTGGTCAGAAATGGCCACCTCAAAGAAGAACTCGACCGGAAAAGAATGTGCAGGAGGAAGATGAGAAGAGAAAGTTTTGGTTGACCGGGTTAAACTGAAAAAACAACAACATAAGGTACCCTGGAATTTAAACTATAAAAAATAACATTGTTCCCAAAGAAGTTTTTCAAGCAGCGAAGGAGAGAGAGAAGGGAAAGGATTTGGTTTTTTTTCCCCTTCCCTTTCTTATATTGACAGCTAAGAGACTTAAGCAAGAAATTGAAAAAAAAATACACTTTGACATTAATAGGCATTTAAGCTGAAAATAAAATGTCAAAGGGATAATAAAGTCTTCTGGATACTTCAAAACTTTTAAAAACAGGAAAGGAGAGAAAAAGAATAAAAGGGCAGGATCTGGAAAAATGGAGGAGACTGCCTGGAATTAAAAGGAATTTACAGTGAAACCTTAACAAGATTCCTAAAAGATACATTTTAACTGAAACTTGGAAACAAAATAATAGAACCCCAGGAAGAGAAAGTGGAAAAAAAGAAGCAAGAAGAAACAGCTTTGGAGTATTTGGATTATTTGGTGATTTTTGGACTTTTGGCATTTAAATGACTAAAATCAATTGGGTGGTTGTTTAAAAGTGTTTAAAATGGCACCACTCTTAGAAGAATTGAAAATGGAACTTAAAAAATGGAAAGAAGATGCGCAAGAAGGGAGAGGTTCTTTTGGCTTCATATTTCAACTCTTAGAAATGTAGATCTGGAACTATGAGAAACAAGAAGAAACGCTTGCAGAACAAGAAGATTGGGACAAAGAAGAAGCCATCTTTAATGATCAAGTAACTTTATGTTGGGGGGAAAAGGAAAGGGGGGGAAGAGAGTGAAAAGTTTAAGATATATCAAGCCACTTCCAGCACCAAAGACCATGAGATTATTTCCATATCATGAAGCAAATAATATCTTCACAGAATCTGCTCCTTCAGACCATTTAGCTAGACAGCTTGAAGCTGAATTTCTACTTTCCTTTTTTACAGGCAATGTGTAAAACCAAGAACTTCGTATTTCCTGTGATTGGTTTTTATTCCTTTTTTTCATTTCCAATGGGG